ACTATTTGAGCAGATCAAGGCTCGCCAGTACGATGATCCACACTTAATGGTTCTTCGAGAAACGACACTACAGGGTGGTGCCAAAGAAGTTACTATTGGAGCGGATGGTGTTCTGCGACTCCATGATCGTCTATGTGTTCCTAATGTGGATGGACTGAGGAAAAAGATCCTAGAGGAAGCACACAGTTCTCGGTATTCTATTCATCCAGGTGCTATGCAGATGTATCGTGATTTGAGGCAGCATTATTGGTGGAGACGAATGAAAAGAGGACATAGTTGAGTATGTGGCTAGGTGTCTAAATTGTCAGCAAGTTAAATATGAGCACCATAGGCGAGGTGGCCTACTTCAGCAGATGACTATACCAGAGTGGAAATGGGAACGCATCACTATGGACTTTGTAGTTGGGTTGCCACGGACCTTGCGGAAGTTTGATGCAGTTTGGGTCATTGTTGACAGGTTGACCAAGTCGGCACACATTATCCATGTTGTGACTACGTATACTTCAAATAGGTTGGCCCAGATATATATTCAGGAGATAGTTCGATTGCACGGTGTGCCAATTTCTATAATATCATATAGAAGCCCTCAGTTTACTTCACATTTCTAGAGAGCAGTACAGAGTGAATTGGGGACCTATGTACAGCTCATCACAACCTTTCATCCGCAGACCGACGGGCAGTCGGAGCGGACAATTCAGATTTTGGAGGATATGCTCAGGGCATGTGTGATTGACTTTGGAGGTCAGTGGGATCATTTCTTGCCTTTTGCCGAGTTTTCTTATAATAACAGTTACCAATCCAACATCAAGATGGCTCCATTCGAGGCTTTATATGGTCGACGATGTCGTTCGCCCATTGGGTGGTTTGAGCCCGGTGAGGCTAAGTTATATGGTACTGATTTGGTGAAGGATGCCTTGGAAAAGGTAAAGTTGATTCAGGAGCGACTCCGTACAGCGCATTCCAGACAGAAGAGTTACGCGGATCAGAAAGCGCATGATTTATCATTTATGGTAGGTGAAAAAGTTCTTTTGGAGGTTTCGCCGATGAAGGGAATCATGATGTTTGGGAAAAAGGAGAAATTGAGCCCAAGCTTTATAGGCCCATTTGAGGTGTTGAGATGAGTTAGGGAGCTTGCTTATGAGCTTGAATTGACTCCCAGCCTATCGGGAGTTCATCTGATTTTTCATGTATCTATGCTCCGGAAGTATCATGCCAACCTATCACATGTGTTAGACTTCAGCACAGTTCAGCTACATAATAACTTGGGTTATGAAGGGGAGCCAGTTGCCATTGTTGATAAACAGGTTCGCAGTTGAGATCCAAAATGATTTCTGCAGTTAAAGTTCAGTGGAGGGGCCAACCAGTCGAGGAAGCGACTTAGGAGGCCGAGAAAAACATGTAGAGCAAATATTCACACTTATTCAGCACTTCAGGTATAATTCTAAACTCGTTCGAGGACGAACATTTGTTCTAGAGGTGGAGAATGTGATGACCCAAAATGTCATCTTTACATTTAATAATTAATTCTGTGTTCTAAGACCTCAAAAAGCACTATTTATCATTCCTCGACTTGCGTACGCAGTCCGTAAGAATTTTCCAAAAACTTTTTATGTGAAAAATGAATTAAAATGTGAATTAGAGCTTTAAAACTCAACTGAGTTGACTTCGGTCAACATTTTGAGCAAACAGAATTGGATCAGTGTTTTGACAGTTCCGGTAGGTCCGTACTGTGATTTGGGACTTGGGCGTATGCCTGGAATCAAATTCCGAGGTCCCTAGCCCGAGATATGGAATTTTGATAAAAAATTTAAAGTTTAAGTTTAAATAGTGACCGAATGTCGAGTATGTGAAAACGACCCTGGAATAGAATTTTGATGATTCCAACAGCTCCGTATGATAATTTTGGACTTAGGAGCATGATCAGAATTTTATTTGGAAGTCCGTAGTGAAATTAGAATTGAAATGGCTAAAACAAGAATTTAAGTTTAGAAGTTTGACCGGAAGTTGACTTTTTGATACCGGAGTCTTAATCTAGTTCTGAAAATTTTCATAGCTCTGTGATGTCATTTATGACTTGTGTGCAAAATTTGAGGTCAATCAGAGTTGATTTGATAGGTTTCGACATCGAATGTAGAAGTTGAAAATTCTAAGTTTCATTAAGCTTGAATTGGAGCATAATTCGTGGTTTTAGCATCGTTTTAGGTGATTTGAGATTTCAAATAAGTTCGTATGATGTTTTAGGACTTGTTGGTATATTTGGTTGAGGTCCCGAGGGCCTCAGGTGAGTTTCAGATGGTTAACGGATCAAAAGTTGGACTTAAAAAGGTGCTGTAATTTTTCCTTTTGCTGGATATTTTGGGCTGTGGTCGAGCCCAAGATCGAGCCCAGATATCGAGCCTAGGGTCGACGACCTGAGGCGAAGCCAGGGACGAGGTTCAGTATCAAAGCCATGATCGAAGGTCCAGCTCGAGGGCCATGATCGAAGGCAATGCTCGAAGGCCAGGATCGAGACCCAAGATCGAGGGTCACAATCGAAGGCTCAGGCTCGATACCATGATCGAGACTATGATCGAAGGACCAGGCTCGATGCCTTAATCGAGGCCATGACCAAGGTCCAGGCTCGAGCTTGTGATCGAAGCCACGATCGAGGCCAAGGCTCGAGGGCCATGATCGAAGCCACGATCGAGGCCCAGTTCGAGGCCCAGTTCCGAAGGCTGTCTGGGCAGTTTTATAAAAAGAGGGCATTCATCTTATTCGCCATTTTTAACAAATTGGAGTTTGAGCAGATGCGATTTTGGATAGATTTTCAAGGAAAGACATTGGGGTAAGTGATTCTAACTCGAATTTAGTCTATATACACAAATATATCATTATTTTCACAATTTAATTAGTGTTTTGAGATTGAAATTTGGAAATTTTTGAAATCTCATAGAAATGAATTTTCGAGATTTCGGTATCGATTCGGAGTCGGATTTGAGTGAAACTGGTATGGTTGGACTCGTAATTGAATGGGTTATCGGATTTCGTAACTTTCGACGGATTACGAGACGTGAGCCCCATGGACGAATTTTAATTAATTTCGGATTTTTATTGAAAAATGTAGTATTTGCTTATAAAATTGATTCCCGTAATTGTTAGTGATTGTATCGAATTGTTCTTGGCTAGATTCAAGTCAGACATAGTTGGATAATCATGGAAAAGGCCTTCTATTGGATTAAATTGGAGCAAGACGAGGTAAGTNNNTAAATCTCATATGCTTAATTTTCTGTTTAAATAAATAAATTATTAAAAGAAATTATTCATCCTCGTGAATTTATCTTATAATGAATATACTCTCTTTCCGGAGGTACTAAAGAAAATGTCCTCCTTTCTTGTGGAGCGGGCCGAACGCCTTAGCAGGATAGATGCATCTATGGATCGTGCCACACGTCCCTCGGCAGTGTACACGACACTCTGGATNAGGCTACGTACGCACCAGGTGACGAGAGTCTGTGCGTAACTACTATTAATGCTAAAGTCTAGGTAGTTTAGGACTCAAAGCATGAATTACTTGTGTAAATTGTATTCTTTGTTTAATCAATATTATTTGATATATATATTGTGAATTGTTAGATAAAAATATTTAAAGATGTAAATCTCATATGCTTAATTTTCTGTTTAAATAAATAAATTATTAAAAGAAATTATTCATCCTCGTGAATTTATCTTATAATGAATATACTCTCTTTCCGGAGGTACTAAAGAAAATGTCCTCCTTTCTTGTGGAGCGGGCCGAACGCCTTAGCAGGATAGATGCATCTATGGATCGTGCCACACGTCCCTCGGCAGTGTACACGACACTCTGGATTGGGCCGAACGACCTCAGCAGAAATCGTGCTTAATAATAATAATTACACGATACTTTGATAGTTTATTGTAGCTTGTGAAGCTAATTGATAAATTGAAAATCTTTGGAATTTAAAGAATTATTATTCCTGCTTGTTAAGGAATTATTGTTATTCCTGTAAATGAGTCTAATAGATAAATTTGGAAATTTGTTGAAATTGAAGGACTTTAATTATTTCTGCTGGTTAAATAAATTATTGTTATATTCTGTGAATCATGGTGATTTAGATATTCTAGTTTTATTTCAATTATTATTATTGACCAATATTGAGTGTCAAAGTCGGCCATCCCGTCTCTACCACTTCGAGATTAGGCTTGATACTTATTGGGTACACGTTGTTTACATACTCATACTACACTTGCTGCACTTTTTGTGCAAGACCTGAGGCAAGTACTACTAGGAGACCTATCTCCTTACACCCACGTTATCCAGAGGCATAGTGGTGAGCTGCCTTTCTGAGCCGTTCTGCAGCTATCAGTGTCTCTTCTTATATTTACATTCTGTCTATTTTTATTTCAGACAGTATTTGAGGTTTTGTATAATCTACTAGAATGCTCATACAGTTGTGATACCAGGTCTTGGCACACACATTAGTAGAATTTGGTGTCTTATTATTTTTCTTGGATTTAAATTTTATCGATATATGTTTAATTTATTAGTTGGCTTGCCTAGCTATCGTGTTGGACGACATCACGACCTATAGATGAAATTGGGTCGTGACACCACGTCACTGTGCTAATGGCTAGCGACGCTTCTTCAATAAGTTAAGCCACCGTTTTTAAATGATGAAGGGAATTCCTGGTTAATGAGAGGTGCCACGTCATTGTGCTAAAGGCCTTGAATTTATATATATATATANNNAGAGAGAGAGAGAGAGAGAGAGAGAGAGAGAGAGAGATATTTTTAGGACTATTATTCATTCTTAGAAAATTGAATCACTTTGGACGCTTTTTTAGGAATGAAATGCTTTGAATATTTTTCTTAAACGTGATTATTGATTTATGTTTATAGCTTTATGATAAGATATATATTTATTCAGCTGCCATGTTGGTAAATTTCTTAAATTTTGTCTATATGTGTTTTTAGCCCAATTATAATCCTAGGATATCTGGGATTTGAACCAAACTGAAACTACCCCTAAGGTTCATAGTTCTCGATCAAATTCTTGAAGGGGTTACAACATATACAAATAAAGGTTCTAATCGGCTCAAGCTCAGCGCCAACACTTTCTCACTACGAAAACCTCTGATTTAGGAGACGCCGCCGATGGAATTCCCCGACGCTAGCTTATCCCATGAATCAGAATCGCTGCCAGTTCTTCCCTCAGAAATACTATATGAAATACTCCTAAGGCTACCCGTGAAAACCTTATTAAAGATGAGGTGCGTTTCAAAATCTTGGTTTTCTCTAATCTCATGTCCCCAATTCATCAAAACCCATCTAAAATTTTCAACTCAGAACCAAGATTTTCGGTGTCTTTTTTACGGCTCTCGTGAGAATAGCCTCACTCTTAACACTTGCTCTCTTGATGAAATTATATATCAAGAAGAATCTCCCCCTATACCTATAGCTGTTCAGCTTGATTTTCCTTGCAATGGCGTCCTGGGTTGTTGTGAAGGGCTGTTTTGTATTTTTAATCAATTTTGGTATATATTTATATGGAATCCATCTATAAGAAAGTCGAAAAAATTGCCCTTTTCAGGACTCGATCCGCGTTGTGGCCAGAGTTCGTCTTATGGTTTTGGTTACGTTGAGTGTCAAGATGATTACAAAGTTGTAGACGTTAAGGGAAATTCACATGGTGATGGTTTTCTGAATGTATTTAAGATTTATAGTCTAAGATATAATTCTTGGAAAAGGATTCAAGACTATCCAGATATTACCTTTTGGATCTATCCTGGTAAATTTGTCAATGGAAGACTTCATTGGATCGTCGGTCATGTTAGTGATGAAAGTGATATGAATGATTCAAGGTTTATTCTTTCGTTAAACCTGGTAGATGATGTTACGAATATTGAATTTCAGAGGAAGAAAAATCTAACTAAAGCTAAGCTAAGCTAAGAAGAGAAGAAAATAATGCAAATAAGATAAAAGGGTTTTTCATTCATAAGCCTCTAAAAGGGCAAAACTCAGTACATATAGGAGCTAGGGACTAAACTATAATAAAGGAAATTTACAATGGTAATTAAATAATAAGGTAAACTAGTTAAAGTGGACTTAAATGCAGAAGGCAAAAGTGGTTAACTGATCAGCCGGCCCCTCTCTCTACTTTCACCGTACAACCTAACAAGCCCATTGTACAAGCTCCACCGGTAGCTCCAACCTTTCCCATTTTAAATCGTATTTCTCCCCCGTTAAGAACTTCCTTGTCCTCAAGGAAGAAGAGATGGAAAAACATACTCTCAAGGCATTCATATCTTCCCAGATCAATGAGTGCCAGCCCCATGCAAGCATTATGCACTCTTGAACCCATGAAATCAGTCGGTTTAATCTTTTTCTTCTGTGGCTTAGGAGACATCCAACGATCTTTGTAATTGAGTAGGACCGACAACTGTTTCCTGAAAAAATCCTTAGCTTGATGGTCGTTTATTCCTCTTGATTTAGAACTAGTTTCAAAAGTGGCATGAATAGCTTGTTTTAGTCCCAAATATACCTCCCATTCCCTGCCAGCTTCTGCTACTTGCAATCCAACAACAACAAGGTCATGCTCAAGGAGAGCTCTTGCCTTTACAGAACCAATCGATGCATATACACGAACTGTTTGGTCAAGAATCCCTTTTGGATCAATCTTCATATGCCTTACTGCTCTAATAGTGTCACTCAAGTCCTTAGGAAGTTGAATCTGTATCTCAACCTTCTCACCATCAGTGACCACACTTTCCCAAGCCCATATGTTGAAATAGGAAGAAACATTTATAACAAAACACTTCATCTGGTCATACAGTGTCATCCCATCATCCTCCAATGCATTCCATGTAGATTGATTCATCATCAATTGTCAATAATCTATATTCCCCTTGGTCACATGATTAAGATTTATAGCTTCCTCACCTCCTCCAGCATGATTATTCTGCACATTGTAATATTTAATATCTACACCTTTATGGAAAAGCAATACCCCCATGGTAGCATGTAACTGATTATCATCTGGAGGTATGGTATATTCTTCTATATATTTCACTAAGCTTTTTCCATGTGCAATTATCAAAGTCCTGTCCAACAGACCGGGTTCTATGGCATTTACTCTAAAAGGGGTAGAGAAATGCATTGGACATTTGGTACTCCACATATACACAATTGATCCATCGCTAAGAATAGTTGACTTAAGGGCCTCATGGAACATGTCTTCAATTGCTTTCTTGAAAAGTAATACCTCATTATTCCATTGAGGTACGATGGACTCATTCTCATGAATATAAATTGCACATAGCACAATATCTTTGCCATATCTTCCAATAATAAATTGCCTTGATAATTGAAGTTCATAAAACTCTTTCAACTCAACCAACAGTAATGAATATTCACCCTCACCCCATGAAGCAATAATATTATATTTAGTTATACAATCCATCCCAGTACCTCTCATTGGGCATACATGTTGAAGCAGCCCTCCTATAGCATTTGACACAAGGAATATACCTTTACTGATGGCCACCATGTATTCCTGGTTATTAAAGATGTCTACCTGTTCTATTCGGTCCTGTGCAATTTCAATAATCCCCCGACCTACAACGTGCGGCACAAATTTAATAGGTAGAGTATCATTCTGGTACTCCTCAAACTCCAATATTGCCTTGGACATTGAACAAAAAATCATACCAGCCTTCTCTGATATTTTGTTGTTGTTGGTCATAATAGAGTTAAGCCATTTTATCTCAAATGCCACACCAGTCAAGTTGTGGCTATTTCCCACCAGAAGTGAAATTGTTGTAAAGTTTTTCCTCCTCAGCTCAAGACCAGACTCAATTTCCACCATGTAATAATACTCAAATGCCTTTCCGGAATTTAGTTGGATACCTTTGATAATGCTTACGGCTCCAAAGGGATTTGCGTAACTGTCAACAATAATACAAACACCAATTTGTCCTTCTCTAATCAACTGTGCAAAGAGTACTTCACCTACTCCATTTGCTTTTAGGACTTTCACTCTAAGAGGTTCGAGCAGCATGGCACCTTCCTGTTCACCTTTCTGAGTTGCCTTGTTCCTTTCAAGTGAAATACCCTTTCCCTTTGAAACTCGAAGTGCCTGAGCAACTTCAGGATCCCAGCCCGGATCTACACCAATTTCAAAGCCAGTGAACTTGGAATTCTCACTTCTGTAGCTTCGATCAGGCCCAATTACAAAGCTTCTAGGATCAGCAACTACATTCTCTAGCAGCTGGCTACGAGCTAGAACAGGGGTTGCATCTGCAAACTCAATAGCCTCTTCAACCAACTCATCATTCTTCTTATCTGTGACCTTTAGCTCCAATTCTTCGGCTAGGTTGTTCTCACACAAATACTTCTTCAAGGCAGCGATAGGATTTCTCATGGTGTCGCGACTCTTTTCAGCAAACGCAATGATATCGACAGCTGTAGGAACATGAGTAATCAGACTGCTATCTTTGTTGTCCACCACATTAGTAGTCTCTTCCTCAACACTCCTTGCTTTATCTCCCTCATCTAGAAGAGCACCTTGTGAATGTGAATCATGTAATGTCGAAGCAGTTTCCAATTCCTCATGCCTTGATGGATTCAGTTCCAAAACTTTAGCCTCAATAGTTGAAAGCTTTATCTCCACCACCACCTCATCATTCTCAACTTTAATCAAAACCGATTTCACAACATCAATATCAGTATTAGAAGACTTCCCTACAACATCCCCTCCTTCGTGAATAACCTGTGAATCATCTAAAAAAAAGGCGCGTCTTGTTTCTTCATGCTTCGTCATCTCCATTGTCCCGTCTTTTGCCTCCTCTATTCTAACTTGAACAATTGAGACACATGCCTCTATTATGACTGCTTCATTTTGCAGTTGATCGTTAGAAAGACAAGCTAATTTGTCAAAAGACACCACTACTCCATCCATTGCCATTTTATCAAACACCTTCTGCGCACACACAACAGGTGTTGATACTAACGAAGGAAACTCAGTTTGTCTCTTCATCGATCCTAGCTGCAGCTTAGAGGGTAAACGTGATTCATCCTTTAATAGCTCAGCTTCCTTAGAACTCCTTTCCTCGAGCAAAGGCTCTGTTATCCCAAAAACAGTTAATTTCTGTTCATCGCCTGCCATTCTCGGAACTAGAATCATTGCCGGAATATCGCCTCCACCAACAATAGTCGGAATCTCTTGGTCACTCGAAAAATCGATGGGAGTAGAAACATTAACAATGGTGTTAACAGGTAGAAATTGTTGTTGAGACGACAGAGAAAGGTGGGAATACTCAGAAGTGCTGTTGAAAGAAGCCATGTTATTATCGGAGAAGAAACCCATAGCCGTGGTTCCTCCTGGTACCACGCCGGCAGTCCAGTAATTATGAACAGCAGTGGAAAACTCGTATGGCTGATACACATAGTAGGGTTGATTGTAATGCTGATGGTACCCACTAGAATAATTTCCACATCACATATTGCTATACCCATAAGGATTAGTATAATCATAGGGATTATTACCTTGATACGTTGCATTGCTGAAGTCCTGCGAAAGAAATGCAGGTAAAACAACTCGTAAAGAGTTATTGGCAGTGTACTTAGAGCCATAAAGAGGGTTTTGGAACGCCATTGATGACTACCAACAAAGCAAGGATGATTGCTCTGATACCACTGTTACGAATATTGAATTTCAGAGGAAGAAGAATCTAATAAGCTAATTAGCTAATAAGAAGAGAAGAAAATAATGCAAATAAGATAAAAGGGTTTTTCATTCATAAGCCTCTAAAAGGACAAAACTCAGTACATATAGTGAAATAGAAGCTAGGGACTAAACTATAATAAAAGAAACTTACAATGGTAATTAAATAATAAGGTAAACTAGTTAAAGTGGACTTAAATGCAAAAAGCAAAAGTGGTTAACTGATCAGAGCGACCCCTCTCTCTATTTTTACCGAACAGTCTAACAAGCCCATTGTACAAGCTCCACCGGTAGCTCCAACCTTTCCCATTTTAAATCGTATCAGATGAGACATATAAAAATGTAGCATTGCCCGATCTTGTTGATGCTAGTTTTGATTGGGATATAGGGAGTTTAGGAGGTAATCTATGTGTATCTTATACCTGTGACTTGGGCCAGATGGATGTATGGGTAATGAAGGTGTATGGTCTTGTGGAGTCGTGGACTAAGGTGGCTTCTATCCCTTATTCTACAGTGATTTCGCCAATTTTCATCTCCCAGAATGATGAAATTTTACTGCAATATGATTCAGGTTTATTGCTGTATAATTCAACACAAAACACTTTCAAGCTTCGTGGCTATGGATTTAGTTTTAATTTGTAGATTGAAAGTCTTGTTTCACCAAATTTTGTGGAGGATGTTTGACAAGCTATGGATCAATGAGTAAAGGATGAAAATTTGTGCTATGGATCTTCCTTATGTGTGTGTTCTGCAGATATTTTGGGTTTTAGGCGGACAAATGGATTATCAAAGGGAATAAAGTCCTATGGATATTAGTATGGCGCTTACGACGGAAGTTGGTTCTTTCAAAATTTCATCCTTCACAAAAATTGGCTTTTTAGAATCTTAAATTCAGCATGGCTCGATTGGTTCGAATGCAGTGCCCAACATGTTTATTGTGGATGAGTTTATATAGTAATGCTGCAAGGAATCAACAATTTTCTATCCGTCCATAGCACTAAATTGTAGTCAATTTGGGACAAACTGAGTTTCATCACTGAGTGCTAATGTGTAAAGGCTCAAAGAAGGGATACTGTTTTCAATTGACAAACCTTGGACAATTCCAAAATGCTTTATTCAATTGACAAACCTTGGACAATTTCAATTGACAACGTGCAAGAAACTATCCAAAATCCAGTAAAAAATCAAACATCAAACACTCATACAATTGTCTAATGATTTTGAGGCTGATTTTTGCAATCAA